AAAAAAAAATGAAAAGAAAAAATATCGATTACAGTGAGCGGAATTTTGCCACTAATCTCCCTCCGAGTACTCCCCATCTTCAGACACTGACCCCACCACTCCGGCCACCTTCTCAAGCAGGTCTGGAAGTCCTCCTTCCTGCGCCTCACAAGGTGTGATCAGAACTAGACAGCGCCACTGCGTGCCATCCAGCAGGAAGGCAGCCGTAAACACGACGCCGTGCCCGCACCCTCATCACCCGCCCTGGCGCCGTGTGACTCTGGCTCTTCCCCGAAGTCAAACTGACCACGAGAAGGGAATGTTTTGATTGATTCAGGACATCGAGGCAACCAGGAGAGCACAACTGAAGACACAAGAGGACTCCAGAACTGCTGCAGACAGCAGCGAGAACGACGGGACCAGTGTGCTCGCAGTGAGGGGAGGGTCTGGGGGGTTCATGCATGGCGATGCGTCTTTCCCTGTAACACTTCTATTTTTTAATTTGAACACTTCCTGTATTTTAGACCACACCACACAGGAGGATCCTTAACTCCGGCCCTCCTGTGGCTCGCTCTTTCCGGAAAGGGCCCGAGCAGGCCACTCACAGATCAGCCCTCAGGACCAGTGCCGGGACAGGTGGATGCAGACCGCGGGCACCACCCACCTGGCAGTACCCAATGCGGGGGTTGCGGTGGGCATAGGCCGTGAGCACCCTCCGGAGCGCAGCGATGCCAGTCTCGTTCTGGAAGGCCGGGTGCTCGGGCAGGGAGCGGTGCAGGTCGCGCTCTATCTCCTCGGTCACCAGGCAGCACCGCCCCAGCGACTCCTCCACCAGCTTCCCGTAGTAACCGGGGTGCGACTCGAGGTCCGTCACGGCATCTGGGGGCACAACACAAAGGCGGGGTTCCCAGGGGAAAGGGCGGGGGTGGTAAGCTGCACAGAGGGGACCTCGTCTCCCACTGAGGGACAGAAAACACTGAGACCACACACAAAACGCCTCCGTTTCTGTCACTTAGCCCAGTACAAAAATGGTAGCAGAGATTTTTCTAAGAAGAACTAAACAAAGCAGGGAAGCACACGCAGGGAAGAAGCCATCTCACTAACACACCTCATGAGCTGTATGCCGTAGGGACAGGAAGAATGCAGCACACGCACTAACGCACAACACTGCCGGGGAGCAGTGTGCAAGGCAGAAGCAGGGTGAGCGCCAACCACCCACGAGGCGCCGCGGTGCTGCCCAGGAGGAGCCCCGAGGGGCCAACCGAAGCCGACAACCAGGCCCCAAACTCGAGCTGGCACCTGCTGCCGGGCCAAGGCCGGCCTCTGGGCGACGGGGGCACACAGGGACTGTCAGGGCGGCCTCTCCTCACCCCCCCCAGAGCCGGAGCACCTGGGGGCTTTTCTGGTTTTTATTGGTACATTTTGGATATACACAGTAACAGTCGTCACCGGGAATTTGCACCTGCACATGAAGTACCTTGATTTTTCTTTCCCATTCCTCTCCCCTCTGTATTTACAAAAGCAGTTTCCATTTTCTCTTCTAGTCTCTTTCTCCTTGTCCCTTCTTTCCTTTCCCCTCCCCGCACCCTGTTCTCATTTGAACATTTTCTTCCCATTTCCCAGTGTCTAGTACACATTTTGGTCCTTACGTACACTCTCGGCTTCTCACACCAGAGAGACAGTGTGGATTTACACACGTGTCTCATTTATTTATTTCACCCTAGAACATAGTCTCGAGAACCCAGGGTTATAGCCAAGCCCCCTCCCCAGAGTTGGCACCCAGCCTCCGAAGCAGGAGCGGGTGGGCACCGCGCAGGGAGCTCCGCGGGCCACCAAGCCCGGCATTGAGCATGGGGGCGCAGGAAGCCTGTGGCCGGGCGCCCGGGGCACTGGGGGAGCGGGGCGAGGACACCAGCTGGAGGCAGAATGCCAGGAGCGAGGGGACCCCGCGCACCTGCAAGGAGCGGCAGCGGGCCCGCGGCGGCTGGCCTCGCCCTGCCCTCAGCCCACTCGCCCCAGCGGCTGGGGACAGACACTCCAGGCTGCGGCAGTCGGAGTCTGACCTGGCTCGGCCCGGAAGCACCCAGTGGGGACCTGGGCTCTGTGGCCACGGAGCGGTGGGTCACGGGTGGGGAGGCGAGGGACAGGAGCGGCATCTCCAACAGCCCGCGTGGACGAGCCTTCCATGCAAGAAGGGCCGGGGACTGTCCCGTGAGCCAGGGTAGCCGCGCGTCAGCCAGAGCTCCTGTCCCAGGAAGATGATTCACTCCAGGGCCTTCTTCGTGGAATGTGCAGCTCTATGCACAGGCTTCAAGTAATTCTTCTTATTTCTTTATTTTTCAATTATTTTAAAAATTATTTTATTTATTTTTCTTTTTGAGACAAGTTTTCACTATGTAGTTCGGCTGGGCTTGAACTCACTTTGTTGCTCAGGCTGGCCTTGAACTCGCAGTGATCCTCCTGCCTCAGCCTCCGGAGCGTTGGGATTGCAGGTATGCACTACCACACCTGGCTAGCTTTTATTTTTTGAGGGAGGGTCTCACTATGTAGTTCAGACATGCCGTGAACTTATGGAGATCCTCCTGCCTCAGCCTCCCAGGTGCTGGGATTACAGACACACAGTCATTCTTAAAGGAGCGGTCACACTGCCCGACCTCACACTTATAGAACGCTGTCGCCTGCAGCCAGCACAGCAGGGGTTCCAGGTTCCCTGGCTGAGCAGTTACAGCTGAACGCGCATGCGCTGCTCTATGGCCTAAGACGCTGTGCACGCACCTGAAAACAGCAGCCAGAGCCGCCCCCGCAGGGCCTCGGGGATCCCCATGGCCACGAGCTTGCGGATCTTCTCGGTGCGGAACATGCACACGGTCCTGCCGTACTCCGCCAAGTGGTCGTTCCACAGGCTAACCTTCACCTGCTCCCGGGGCTGGGAAGGAAATGAGCGCTGAGGCCGGAGCCACCGTCTGCTGCCTGGGGTGGAGGAAACGGTGTGTCCCGGGGACCCCAGCGACAGCAGTGACCCCAAGGGCCCAGGCGCCGATGACGCCGAGACAAGCCAGCTCTCCAGTGGGCGAGGGGAGAGACCTTTTTTTTTTTTTTTGGTTTGGGTATGGAGCTTTGGTTGGGTTTTGGGGAGACAGGGTCTCATTATGTAGTTTAGGCTGGCCTTGAACTCACAGCAATCCTCCTGCCTCAGCCTCCCGGCAGTGCCACCACACTTGGCAAGGGAAGGTATCTCTGTAAATACACACCTCTAATCCCACACTGGGGAGGCTGGGGCAGGAGGGTTACCACGTGTTCAAGGCCAGCCGGGCTCCATAGTGAGTTCAAGGCCAGCCTGAACTATATAGCGAGACCCTGTCTCAAAAAACAAAACAAAAACCCCCACAAATACTAAGTGTAGCCCAAATCAGATGGCAGTAGTGGGCGGGACAGGCGACACCAGGGAATGCTTCCTGGGGGTGTCAGCATGGCATCGGCTGCTAAAATTAGGTCAGCTTGGGGGACTGGGGGTGTCACAATTTACACTGAGCTTCCTGACAGAAAAATGAAGCTGAAAAAATTGTTCTTACTGTTACAAAGAAGAAAATCACTTTCTCCAGGCAATTAAAAATACTGTAAAATTTTCCCTATCTGGCAGGAACATTTGGGGCCTTTGAAATAATATTTACAACAACTGTTAATCAGCATTTTTCATAAAGGGAGACAGTGCGGGTCCAATCTTTCCACGCATCAAGTCAACAAGAGTCAACTGCACATCTGTGCGTAAAGCACACGGTTGGAGAAAATAAAGCTGCCAGTGGACTAGAGCGGTGTCTTGGTGACCGAGACGCAGCCTGGGTGACAGCGTCCACAGCCACCGCCCGGTCCTGGCAGTCACAGCGTGGCTGCCCTCTGCCAAGGCTCTGGCTCAGGGCTGTTCCCACTTCCCAACTGTATGTGACTCTGCCTCACGTTTCCCCTGCACAGCTCCACTGTAGCAAAAGTATTTTTAGCTCAGTAAAACTAGAAGACAGGTGACCCTTGTCCCAGAGAAACAAAGAAAACCTTGTTCAAGAGGCGCAGGGAGGGCACCAGGTGGCAGGAGACAGACGCGTGGGCACCCGGAAATGCACAGGGACAGCGCTGCCAGCTGCCCGGCCGCACACGAGTGCCGCGAGAGCCACCCAAGGACAGGCGCGAGGGCCAGCACCCCCCAGCCTGAGCCTGCAGGGGACCAGGCACTCCGTGCCGCAGAGGCAGAGGAGCGGCCCGCCTTCTCAAAGTCCCGAGCCGCCTCCGCCCCGGGTCCCCTGCCGCAGCGTCACCCCCAACCCGGAGGCGGAGCCGCCTCACCCACCAGGTGCGCGTCCGGTCTCGGGCTGCCGGGTGGAGGGAAGACGGGGGTGAGGGGCTCCGGGCACGGCGGCGACAGGCCCTTCTCCTCGCTGCTCTGAGGGGACACCATCTCAACATCCCCAAACCTGTGGTCACCACACATGCTTGAGTAAAACACAGGCGTCATCTGCATGGCCAAAAGAAGGGGATATGCGCACCATTACATGTCAGTTAAAAATAAAAATACATTCGCTGGATGTGGTGGTGCACACCTGCAATCCCAGCACTCTGGGAGCCTGAGGCGGGAGGAGCACAAGTTCAGGCCCAGCCTGGGCAACCTGGTGACTCAGTGAGACCCTGTGTCTAAATAGGAAACTAAAAAAAGGATGGAGATGTAGCTCAGTGCAAGGTCACAGGTTTGATCTGCAGTACCACCAAAGTTAATACATAAAAATAGAAAAATACGTTTTTCAGGAAAGCCATGGGACACAAGGACCTCACGAACCCAGTCGACTTCTCCAGCCCAACCATAACAGCGACAAAGCCCTCCTCCTGGCAGGTGTCAGCTGCCTCAAATAACACCGTCCCCAGCACCACTGGGATGGGGGTGTCACGGCCTCCAGCATCACAGGAAGGGTCCCCACCCTACAGGGCGGCTCTGTCAACCCCTCCAACCTCCACACTACACCACCTGCCGTCCAGCGTCGGGTACACATCAACCTCCCAGCTGCCGACAACCTGTCGGCAGCCCTGGTCTGGGTACCCCGTGGAGCACCCAGTGCCTCAGGAGTGACACCAGAACGGCACACAGACCTGCAGCCTCCGGCACGTCTCTCTTGCCCTAGCGGTGGAGGGAAGGGAGGCTCAGGCAGGCAAGGCCGCCACGCCAGGGGCTCCTACCATGCCGAAGTCCTGGTCACTTGTTGAGGCGTCGTAGCGCACGGGGTGGTCGGCGTGGACCTGCTTCAGTCTTGCCAGCAGGCCTTCCACCAGGCCCTCCCTGTCCCTGAGCTCGATGAACTGGAAGGCCATCTTGCTGCGGATGCTGACAATGATGGGGTTGGGCAGCAGGCTTGTGTCCTCCATCTTCTCGATGCTCACGACCTGGCGCAGAACACGACAGGCACAGGACATGGAGGAGGGCCGGCCTTCGGTCACACGCTCGGCAGCACTCTTCACAGCCACGGCTCGAGGCACCACTGCGCAACAAGCGGTGAGCAGGCCGCGGTGCGCGCACGCGACGGAAGAGCATTTGGTCATAAAAGCACACTCTGGCCCATGCTGCAACACGGATGGACCCTCAGGACATTATGCTAAGTGGAACAAAACCCCCACAAAATGACAAGTTAGAGTGTACGAGCGCATGATGAGATACCTAGAGCAGTCGGCTTCGTGAGGGCAGCACGGTTACCTGGTGGTGGCGGGCAGACAGAGCAGGGAGCTGCTACTGAGTCGAGAGAGCTGCAGGCTGCAGAGATGAGAAGCTAGGGGGATGGATGGTAGCGGTGGCTGCACTTAACGCTCCTGAACTTTACACTTGAAGTGATTATGACGGCTATGCATGTACCAGAAAAAAAATTTAAACTACACGAGGCATCTTCTCAATTTCTTGCTCCACTGGTAGGAACATCTGTGAAATGAACACATCTCCTGGAGGATGATAACGTGGCTGTGGGGTGACTGAAAGACCCGCGTTTCCTAAGGAACACTGCTCTAGACAGAAGACACAGGAGCAAGGCTCCCGCGGGCTGGACAGGGAAGGCTTGTGGTCCCACCTCGGCAGCGAAGCTGGGACCAAAGGATGGAGCTGCTCAGAGCTGAAAGTCAACGGAGGCTGCCCCTGATTTCCAGAGTTTATGAAGAAAGTGTCTGTCCATATTAAAGGGACCATTTTTACATCCTTAACTCAAGTTCCAGAAGAAAAGTCGAGCAATTTGCCATTTATCTTCCAAATGGAAGCTTTTTATAGGTTTTGTTTTTTTTTCTTTTTTTTTTTGGTGAGTGAAAGGGGAAGATTCTTTCCTAAGAGCTGTTGGAAAAGCTGTCACTGCTAGGCTAGGAATGTTCTTTTTAGAAACAGCTTTATCAACAGTGTGGAGGTGAGAGTACTCTTCTCACCCATCCCTTCTAGGTGACTGTCCAGTTGCCATAGAAACAACAGGAGCTTCATAGTCCAATTCAGGTCCTGCTTCCTTCAAAAAGCCAGGCTACCCAGACGCCCACCTTCAGATGGCAAAACTGTGCTGTGACCATCCCATCCCACCACCAGGACTGCGGCTGATCTGCTTTAATGAGGTAGGAAGGCTTTCCTCGAAGTTAACTGTGGGAAGCTTGTTTCCCACGGGAGCGGTGTTAAGAGACTTGGGGGCCTGAAGAGGCAGGGCCTGGTGAAGGCAGCTAGTCCTCAAGGGACTCTGTGGCTCCCTGTCTAACCACCGTGACCAATCCCGCTCATACACATTCCTGCCACCATGATGCCACCCCCCAGGAGCCACCACCAGCACTAAGCACAGCCGGTATCGCACTCCAGAGCCTTGTGAGCACCATCAACCTCTTCTGACGTAAGTGTACCCAGCTTCAAGCACTGTCACAGCAAGAGACAGGGGGCTGGCTCCAGGGGTGCAGGTGACAGAGGCTGCCTCGGGAAGTGCATGAGTTCTGCGGCTATAAACATGGGTATATACAGTAACTGCAATGTGATGTCTTTAACTTTTTCGGGAAGGCATCTGGAAGGGGACTAACAAATGAAGGCGTAAGGAAAATGTGGCATTTATACACAAGGGAGCACTGCTCTGCCAGAAAGAAAGATAAACTCGAGTCACTTGTAGGAAAATGGATGCACTTGACACCATAATGTTAAGTGAAATAAATCAAGACACAGAAGCTTCAATATCATATGGGTGATATGAGAAACCCAAAGCATGATAAAGAGCAAAATAAAAGATAGATCACTCGAAAACAGGGAGACAGAACTTTTGCCAACGGGAAGGGGACCAAGAGATGTAGGGAGGAGATGTAAAAACAATGAAGATGTGTGATGCACATGGACCAACTCCTCACGAGGATGTGATCATTATGTACTGCAAGCATGCACTCACAGAAATAAAAATTTTTAAAAAGGAAGCGCATAGCGGGTGGCAGAGGCAGTGCTCTACCTCTCGGAGTGGCAGGACCACGGTGCAGCGGCCATCCTCGCGGCTGGCGAAGCAGATGTAGCTGTCGGACGTGAACATCCGTCCCGCAGTGTGGCAGCGGCTGAAGGGCGTCCAGAGGGCGCAGTCCACTACGGTGCGCAGCTTCTCCTTCCGGGGCAGCCGGAAGAAGGCCCGGAAGAACTCATTCTGCGCACGCGCCTCCAGGTCCCTGGGCAAAGGAGAGGACGAGAAGGAGCAGAGACGTGAGGGGACGTGAGAGATGACAGAGAGGTGAGAGGACCCGCAAAGTGATAGAGGGAGATGCTCGGAACCCACTGGCACAACCCAATAGGTGAGTGTGGAAAGGTGCTCTGACCCCTCCCCAGTCTGTCAGCCCTTTACCCTTCACTTTCACAACCCACTCATGGGCCATGTGATGTCCCTGACAGAAATAATTTAGTGAATCCAAAATATAGATTTCTCGGGGCCAGGCATTTAGCTCAGTGGTGCAGCGGCTGCCTGGCAAGCATGAGGTACAGGGTTTGATTCCCAGTACCCCCAAAATAGACAGATAGATTCCTTCCTGTTTTTAGTAACAATGAAAATTACCACCAGAATGGTCAAAGAAGCCAAGTGTAAAAAGTCAGATAATAATAAGTGATGATGAGGATAGGGTGCAGTTGGGACCCTCACATCCTCCTGGAGGAAATGTAAAGTGGTGAGCTATGTGGGGAACAGTCTGACAGCACCTTGGAGGGTTAAAAAAGCCCAAAAACAAAAAAAACACACTCACTATCTGACCCAGACACTCTGCTCCCAGTTTACATACCCAAGAAAACTGAAAACTTCTACTCACAAACTTGCACACAAATATTCATAGCAATCTCATTTGTGACAACTGAAAGGCAGAAACTATACAGAGTTTCATCAGCTAATGAACAGATAAAATGTATATCTCTGTAGAATTGATGATATTCATAAAAAGTTATCCATATAAAAGAAGAATGAGCCGGGCATGGTAGCACACGCCTGTAATCCCAGCACTTGGGAGGCTGAGGCAGGAGGATCGTTGTGAGTTCAAGACCAGCCTAAGCTACAAAGTGAGCTTAAGGCCAGCCTGAACTGCACAGAGAGACCTTGCCTCTAAAAAAAAAAAAAAAAAAAAAAAAAAAAAAAAAAAAAAAACAAAGGATGACTACACGAACCACTACCGGGCCTGGAGTTCTGATATGTCCACCTCCCCGGGCTCTGTCTGCGAGACAGCACCTTTACCTGTCTGGCAAAGAGTGAACTGTGGTTGTGGCTGCCCCTTGGGGCATCACTCCAAGGAGGTGGAAGCTCATTGCCTGGAGCCCCTTCTTGGGTGGAGGTCCCGCCTAGGAGGAGCAGTCTGAGCCCATGGCCCCAGCAACACTGAAGTGTGGACTCTGTCCAGGTTCTGTGGAGTCTTCAGGAGTCCTGAGGCCAAAGTTAGGAGTAAATCCTCAGGGGAGGGAGCAACATCAGCCCTGACCCTCTGTACCCAAGCCCTGAGCCTATGGAGGAGCTGCTGCCTGTAGATCTTTGCTGACTGGCCCCTCTGCTTCCCCCGGCTACCGCATGCTGCTCAAATGTGTCAGCATTGCCACCTCACCGGCCACCTGTCACTATGTTGTATGTGGATTTCTGAGCTGTTCCCAGAACTTGGTGACGTTGGGAGTTGGATCCACAGTGTGAGGGAGATGCTAAGCTGGAGGTCAACTGTGGAGCCAAGGAA